ATGGACAAAGCTCCAGACAACACAGTCTCGGCAGAGCTCTTGCTTCTCGCTCCTGACACCCCTGTAAGACAGCCTTAAAAAGAAAAAAAAAATCACCCAAATTTGATTTCAATGTGTGTCTACCAAAGCTTTTAGCCTGTTTAGTGAATCAGACACTCTTCTGTCTTGTCTCACAGCCTGGCTGACTGGCTGGCTTTTTGCAAAGAGGCCCCAGGAGGGACAACAGAAGGAACGAAAACTCACACAAACAACACACACATGCACGCGTCTCTAAGTCTCTAACAGTTGCAGATGGCTTTAATTTCTTGCCCTCTTTCTTTCACAATTTATCAGGTAACCTACTCTGAACAAGCGTGCCTCCCTTTCACGCTCGGCTGTGATGACTAAACGTCGCTTTGGTTCTCTTTAAAAAAGAAGAGGAAAAAAAAAAAAGGTCAAACAGCAACTAATTAATGCTGTGCAACGGAGAACTGTTGCTGCTGAAACGATTTTATTACATCACTGTTTCAAATTACAGAGAAAGGAGACACTGGAGAGAGAGAGAGAGAGAGAGAGAGAGAGCGCACCCAAACAAAAGTGGCTTAGCGCGCTGACATGTACAAGAGCAGACATAGACAATGTGGACACCTGCAATCCAGTGTAACACTCCTGCAATAGGTGAGTTACAATCGCGAGTCTGTGATGTTCATTTTCTTTCAAGGCTGCGTCAGATCTCCAAAATAAAAACGTGTGTAGTGCAATTTCCTGTCAAAAATTCCAACCTCTTATCTCGCCCCATAATAATAACACAGAGCATCATAAAGCGTCACCGCCACAGCTTCATTACACCTCAGCCTCCCGCCGGTGCAAATACTTTTTTGTTCAACTACTCCTTCCAGTCAAACTTCCCTGTAACGAGGCGCCAAAAAAAATAAAAAGACTTTCTCCTTCTCCTCCTCCTCCTCCTCCTCATCCCACTCGGAGCCCCGTCTCTCTGCAACACTCAGCCCTGTCTGGCCTCCCATCCAGGCTGGAGGAATTTAACAGAGAGGGTCGTCCAGTCCAGTCCAGACTGGAGGCAGAAGGTTGCTCTGAGTCAAGCAGCTCGTTCACACACCGCTGCTGCAGAAAAGCGTAGAAAATGCGGCGCTGCTGGTCTCTGTGGGGATTAATGTCAAAAGACACTGGATGCATGAACTGAGCTGTATTAAGGGAAGCATGCAGCGGAGCTTTCAGTGCAGGCGCAGCGCTGTAACCGTGTGAACACGTGACACGGTAGTAACACCTGAGCATTGTCAAAGACACTCAGACTGCAGAGAATCCACTGTGAGAGCCGACAGTGTGGGCTGGGCCCAGACTCTGAACAAATCACATTTGTTTTTCTAAACAGATTTCCTCAGGCTGACGGGCTGAGCTGGAAATTACAAGTGATCGGAACAAATCCGAGAACCAAGAGCCAAGACGTAATCTACGCGTCTGTGTGTCTGTCTGGGTCACTTTGATAACAACCTAGAGGGGAAAAAACAAACAGCTGCACACCAGTGAAACCTAAACACATCTGGTGCCGTGAACTTAAACACGTGTGAGTACAACCCTCTTCACTTCCATGACCATTGAGCAAAGAAAAAGCTATCAGTGTCAGTGCAATGCAACAAGACTCTGATACGATCTGTGATTGCAGCGACCCATGGTCGTGGGGTTAAAGAAGTGAGTTTTTAATCAATGGTTTGCTGGTCCAAATCCCACCAGAACTGTGGTGGGATCTACCCATGTTCCCAGGAGCAGCAAAGTTTCCACCAAATGTAACAGTGCAATTGATCATCATTCTTTCTTTCTTTTCTTTTTTTATTCTATTGATTGTTTCCTTCTGGTTGATCTGGTTAAGGATTATTTCAATAAATTTGGTTGCAAGTTATAAAAAACATGAACCACAAAAAGTCAAAAATAATTTGTTCCACTTCTTCAACTATTACAGTATGAAAACAGCAGAACCAACAAACAGGCGCCAGAACCAAAGACAGAACTCAGAAGAATTTCTGGTATTCAGCCTGATGTGAATTTCAACAGAAACACAACTCACCATTATTTTTACCAAAACCAAAACAACTGATGTAGGTGTGATGTCATCACTGATGTCACACGTGTCCAGTCAGATGTTGACCTCAGCCATGTGACTGACTGTCCAATGACAAAAATGTCAAAAAAAATAGTAGGTCCGTTTTTATTAGCAAGAATATTAAATATGATTATCATTCTACCTTATTTAAAAAATAATATTTGTTGAGGGAAATAAAAAAGATAAAGTGTTTTTTATCTGGATCTGCTGTTTCCTGCGGTGTGAAAACGGTGCCATTAAAAAAGCCTGAGGTCCGTATCGATCTCATTTATTGGTAGCAGCTGATCTTTGACTGATCTTTGACAGATCCACTCACCACAATCACCGCTATCAATCATCTACTCAGTGCAGCCGTGTTTCACAGTGTTGTCTAACAGGGAGACGAATATACCTGCTAATTGCATTACAACAGGTAACAAGGTAACAGCCTTGGAGGGATCCAACAAGCCCAGACACACTGCTTAGTGTTAGCTAAGAAGACACACAGATTCTCAGTATGGCTGCAACTGAGCCATCAGCTGATACACACACACAAACACACACACACACGCACAGCTGCCATCGCTGAGCCCATCCCTGCCTGGTGTCCTCTCCACATGCACCTATGTTGGATTTAAACCCGCAGACGTGAAGTGACAATAACCCGACTGTTACTACTTTATCACAGCCGTGCGACTGCACGGACCAGGGGAGACGGAGAGCCAACAGCTGCACTGACTTCAGCTGCTTGGCTTCCAGCGGTAACTCTTCAGACAGAGCTGCGGGATACACACCGCACACAGCACACATACACACGCGCGCCTGGATATTAGTCCGCGTTAACGCGCTTGCTGTTTTACCTCTCCGCCAGCCACAGTGTGACCCTCACCGCGGCCGCCACAGACAGACAGACAGACAGACACCCAGCAGCGCCCGGACACCAGTTCGTGTGCAGCTGTTAAAGGTTCCTCGGGGGTCACTCTATTGTTAGCAGGTAGTCCGTGTGTCCAGCGAGGAGACGAACCCACCGACACGAGCGACACATTTAAATCCAGTTCTGCGGCGCATAATAAAAACACTCCTGAAACTTACTTTCAGTTCGGACCTCCGTGGTTTAATCCGCAGCTACTGAACCTCCTCCTGCTCCTCCGAAACCTCGTGTATGCGTACGATGCTCCTCTCGTTCGCTACGCTCCTCCGCGGTTACGGTGTGAGAGACGCGGAGACGGTGCGAGTGAGTGACTGAATCAACTACCGTGGAGCACGGCAAGTTGAAGTGTCAGATTACACTGGCTATTCAGTTACCAGCGAGAGCCAGTGCTCTGCGGTCGCCCGGAAAACCAGACGTGGATTTCCGGCGGAAGGACACGGAGGGATTGAAGGTGTAAGTATGCGCTAATGGGCCGCTTAGGGCACATTTGTCACTGGAGCGGACTGCAGCCCTCTGCTCCGGCTATTGTGTTCTGCTGTGTTTTGCTGGACCAGGGCCGGTTCTATAGATTCTGGCGCTCCGATAGATCGGTTTGAGATGCCCCCCCCCGAACCTCCTCAGATTCAGATTTAAAAGGTATAATATTAGGGGATGTAAGTGATGTCCCCACCCCCCGAACCCCCTCAGATTCAGGTTTAAAAGGTATAATATTAGGGGATGTATTTAAAAATTGAAAATATATACATGTAATTTTTATGAACAACTTACCCGAAAGGGTTTGTCTTTCTCATATTATTATTCTTATTATTATCCATTTGAATATCTGTAATTATCTATACCATAATTTGACTTGTATCGGTCAAAATATTAATTTATATCAGTGAAAGAAATAGACCCAGTAGATGGCAGTGGTGACAATAATACAGTATTATTGGTCCGTGGTCCATGGGCTGAGTGCGCTCATTAAATTCAATAATAAAGTAGTCGTTTTAATGGGTGTTTATGGCCATAAATAAACACTTCTATTAATATTGATAAGTTCTATAGAGTCACGATAAACAATTGCAAATTTGAACAATAAATCTAGAGACATTTCTAAAAACTGGAATACATTTTTTTTCTAAAAAAAATCAATTGTTTAAGACGTTATTTTTTATAAAATTTATAAATCATGTTTATCTGTGTAGCTATATTTGTATTGTTTACTTTGTTCTTTTTGGGGTTTAAGATTTAGTTTGGAGTTAGGCTTAGAATTAACGTCAGATTAGTGTTAGGGTAACGATGAAAATTAGACATACATTTTTAATAGTTACCTTTTAAGTTTAAGGGAATTTAATTTACGACGTGAACACTAGTGTGCGTGCGAGAGAGAGAGAGAGAGAGAGAGAGAGAGAGACGGGCAGCCGTCCTCCGCTCCAGCGGCTCCTTCCTCCTTCCTCCTTCCTCCTTCCTCCTTCAGCTCAGACCCAGCTCCGGGTTTTGCGGACGGCCGCTCTCTGCTGTGGAAGCCTCAGAATAACAAAGACGTGTTTGAGAGCAGCGGCAGGCTGGGCTGAGCGGTGACGTCAAGGAACAATGTTTCTCCTCCCGACACGCACACACACGCACGCCAGCAGTAACATGCACGTCCACACACTAACACACACACACACATTCCCTCCCTTCGCTGTTAGACTGAACTGCTCAAACAGCAGGCGGCAGTTCTCAGGTCTTCATGGGATTTCCTTAGTGTTCATCCAATGCATTTTTGACATCATTAAAATAATGTCAAACGTGTTCAATCACGAGTCCGTAAATATGTCTCTGTGTGACGTGCACTCCACCAAGGCTGTATGTTTCCTGTTCATCTGGTACATTTAGAATATCATGACTAAAGATGACAAGGTGGTGAAAATGTATTCACTGTTTCCAATCACACCGTGTCATCAGTCCTGGGGTCGACTTCCTATCAGCAGCTCCTTCTGACCCAGTATGATGGGAAGGAAGGGTGGGGGGCTGGGGCGGGGGGGCTTTTAGCTTCCTGCCTGCAGGGGCTCCTGACACTGATGCAGAGAGCCTGGACAGGGTATCATCAACAATGTGTGTGTGTGTGTGTGTGTGTGTGTGTGTATGACCCATCAGCGTGTGTCTCAAGGACATCACAGCCCTCTGGTCAGAGCTGCTATCCCCGCTGATGGGAACAAATGTGAGCAGTGACATCACCGGCTCTGGCAGTCAGTCATTTTTATTTCTTAGATGGAGACCGTCTGCGCGGTCAATGTCACAACGCCGCCGCAGCGAGTCCATGATCAATTTTTTGTTTCTCTTCTGGAAATAGCTTTCCCCGATGACCTATGTCCTCGTCCTGACGCTGCGTCCGATATTGACGTTCTTGATCTACCTTGTTATAACAAATACATTGACGTTGATAGTGTCATTCACATCATCAATACTCATGTACGAGGACTCGAGGTTTTCTCGAGGTTTTCTCACATCAGAGAACTGTTGTGTTCTTGTAGAACAAACATCTCCAGATCTACGGTTGGCTTTGAGATTTTGGTTTTTATTCCGATTATAATATCGCGTGTTCCGCGTCATCTATCAAGTTTTCTAATGAAAGCTGGCTTAACGTGACACGGTTGATAATAGGCATCGGAGGGCCTGCAGCTGGACGCCTCCTTCTTTGACACTCTCCATCTCAAAGACTGGCTCCTAGTCAGAAGTTCCTGGTTTTTATAGCAAGGCTCAAGCCTTGGCTTTTCCAAAATAATATAGCCAGATGGCTGCCAACAAGATGGATGGATTATTGGGAGTTGAGGGGGGAGGGGGCATGGACTTTACTTGGCTCCGTCTATGATTTTATTCTTCTTTCAAAGGGCTGAATGCTTCAAATGAGAACAAAGAGACGTCTAAGGAAAGCATTAGCCAAGGGTAATAATTCGACAAGGTTAATACATACTGCATTGTGCTGCAGTGTATCAAATTAACATAAGAAAACGGTTTCGTCCATAGAACATTAGTGACAATCAAGGCCAGACTTGGCTCACAAGTCATGTTCGAACAAGAAGACGTCGCACATTTCCCTGGACCAGCTCGCCGCGCCTGCCCACGAACGGGCTGATCTCCATCTCCATCCAGGCGGCAGCAGATGTGATGGATGCTGCTGGGGCTTCACAGCTGCATGATGGAGGGAGACTTTCAGTTGTGCTGACATCAGCTCTCCCTGTTCACACAGAGGTGTGATGGCTGTTTACTGCTGCTATCATCAAGAACAGAATGACGGAGTGACTGACTGATTCTTCCTGCCGTTCCCCTGATATCAGCTGGGATTGGCTCCAGACCCCCTCGATCCCCCTCTCGATCCTTAAAGGAAAAGTACAAACTGTTTGGTCACATAAACCTTGGTCAATGAGTCGAATGAACTGACCCAACGATGTCATTCACTATTTTGATAGCTTTATTGCATTATCACTATTTTCACTTAAAAAACTTCCATATGCCAGGGTGTTAGAGGACATTAAAACGTGTTTATTATTGAGGTCGATGTTTTTGACATATTTATGAAGTCAACAATGGCAAAAACTAGCCAGTAGAGTTAATACACCATTAGCCGTTAACCAGTTGTGTAAAAATGCTGCAGTTCTGTACATTTTAAACGTCACATGCAACAGGACCCCAGACTAATCTCGCTGCTTCTTCCTCTCAGTCCGCTCTCGGCTCTCAGGATCTGGCTGCTGGCTGAAATAAAACTGTTCCAATATTTGAGTTCCTGAGGAAGCTCAGGGCTCTCGACCTACACACGCAAACAGAAACATTTGTCAATAATGTGATGTAATAAAGCCACCGTGTAATGGCACAAAGGAAAATGCAGCAGTTGACGCAGTACGAAAAGATAAGACTTCTCTGGCACGGACACAGAGCAGTGCCAGATGTTGGCTCTCGGACCAGAGGACTCCACTGTGGCGAGTAAATTACAGTGAAGTAAGTGAGACGTCAAGCTCACTTTTTGACAGCGTGACTGGAACCACTTACAGTAAAGAGGTGATAAGATATACTGTTATTGAACAGAACTTTGGACCTGAACAACTACATAAAATGTTGATTCGTTTTTTTATTTCTCAGTAGAGTGGTAGAAATTTAGTTGAAATAAATGAAATGAAAAGTTTCTTATAGTCTGTGCCTCGCTGTGGCACTGAGACTACGGTCACACCGCAGGCAAAGGTGGCCTAAAACTGATGTTCATGTGTGCTGCTACATCGTATATGTGTCCAGTTATTTTCAAAGTAACCTCAGTCTGAACCTTTTAGTCTTTGAAGTGAGGCAGATGTCACAACTTTGTGAAAAAGAAATCGTAAAAAGATGAAACAAACATGTCAAACCAGCAAGACCGTTGGAAGAGACAAGACTGTTAAAGGTTTCGTTTGCATGAATTGGTAACGAGAAAGTTGGCATGACTGCGGTCACCGGGATGAAAGGATGACTGCAATGTGACATGGTGTGCTCTCCTGCCCGTGCAGGTCACTAGGGGGCTGTAGAGAGTCCACACAGGAGTCTGGTGTAAGAGGGATTTAAACTATAACCACCCAAAACAATATCTATCTTGGCGAGAAATTGGATTTGACTAACAAGACATGCAGTTTGAATTTAGCCTTTATGCTGCTTAGTCCAGCATTTTTCAACCTTGGGGTCGTGAACCACCGGTTTGCTCTCCTTTAACATACCTTCATCTTGGAAGCAAGGCTGATGAGTATCTCTGGACTGGAGTTCATCACGTTCTGCTTGGAGAACATGACTGCAGACACAAAACCGTCTCGTTTGGACACAAAGCGCTGCTCCAAGTAAAAAGCCTTGTCGTCCCATCCCCTTATTTTAGTCTGGATTTGAAATGATTCCCAAATTTCCAAGGAGCGTCGGTACCTGATGGTGGAAGCCCCTATGACCATTCCGCCGCCAGATTTGAAGAGGGCTATCAACAGCCGACTGCGCGTATAAGCGTGTAAGCGCGCAAAGTCGCACTCCCTCAGGTACCGAGAGTTGTTCATGTGATACAATTTGTCCAGGTCGTGAGGCAGGACGATGCCGTCGAAGCTTTGCACGGCTAAAATGTCCCATATTCTGGGCTGGAACCATGCATGCACCACAGCCAGGGCCGCGCGGAGGAAGTACCATACGTCAAAAACGCTGAAGAGCAGGAGCGACGCCACCAGCACCAGAACCAACATCTCTGTGGGACGAGAGCAGGTCACTGTCACCTTCCCAACGGCAGGGAATAGATCTGCATTGATAACGTTGCATTACAGCTGCTGGCTTTGGTGTCACTGCTCAGCACTCACACGCCTTTGATCTACACATCTGCCTGTGATCTGTGCCATGGCCTTCTTTTATCTGTGCACATGATAAAATAAATCAAACTCTGATACGTTCTACACTGGCAGTTGTTCCTATTATAGTGAAATGTTGAGGTTCATTTCCTGTTGGCTGATGCTCTTGTCAGGAGATAAAACAAACACGCTACCTGTGCCTGTCGTGTTGCCTTTGATGCCACGCCTGGCACGGTATGTGCAGACAAAGTTCTGCATCCGACCTCGCGTTAATGACAGCCTTGCATGACCACAACTACGTCATTGGATTCGGATTTGCACTTGCATTTAGCTGCACATTGTTGTCGTGTTTGTTTGTGAGAACGGTCGTGTTGTAAAAACAAATGAGACGGTTCACATTTGACTCCTGTCAAGGTGAGGTAACACATGGCGGCAGAAAAAAAGTATATCGAGTCGATACACCCAACACCTGTGCTGCTATCAAATGACAAGAGCATCGGTGAGACGTAAATAAAGAAAATTCTAATTAATTACAGGTTTCAAAAATCGATGAAATCATTTCATTTTTTTATATTTGACACAAAAGGCAGCGTTTCTTTTTTTTTCATACACATGAACATCATCAGCAAAATGTTTGTTTCTCATGTCTATCTAACTGTGCTTTTTTTTTATCCCAGTCATACAGTAGCAGCTTTGACAGCTTTACTCGCAGTAGTATTAATATATAGTAACAGTAAAGAATATCTTTGTTCTGTTTTGAGTTGAGGCTGATATGGTTGACAGCCGGGGCCTCGTGCTGACTGGCCCGACTCACCACGAGGAGCACACGGCCGATCAATGACTGTGTATAACAGAGTGCTAGCATTCTGATAGCTTATAGCTCCCTGAGGACAGCGGTGGTGGTGAGGTAGGAGGAAAGGACCTGCAGGTCAACATGTGATGTCACGTGTTTTCATACGGTCACCCCCAAGCTGATATATACTTTGTACATATATCTATAAACAAATAAAAAAGTAAATTATTACAATACTAATGTTACAATAAAATATTTATATTTATATAAATTTATATTTTTTAAGAAAATCTGCAGTATCTCCACAGACACCAAACTGTAAGAAAAAAAAAAAAATTCGCAGACACCAAACTGTAAGAATTTTTAAAAAAAATAATAGAATCTGATCTGTTAATATTGGATGTATAAATTAAATTATTTAAATTCACACAAAAAAATTATAAATCACTGATTATTTATTTAATTACAGTTTTCATTGAGAATAAAGTTGAGTTTTTGATTTGTTGACATGGATCAGGGAGGGGAAAAAGGTCGATGTGCCTCTGAAAAAACAGAAAGAACAACGAGAACGTCTCCCTGGCTTCATTCGTCAGTGCAGGTTGTTGACAACAGAACAGTCCAACAGTCAAAGATGTCCTTTATCTGTGGCTGCAATGCTAACATTCACCACAGAAAACAAAAACACGGCGTTGCATTTGCAGTTTATATTTTCTCTGGTTTAAAAAGTCCATTCGACAGCACGGAGCCAGTAATTAATCAAACGGTGGTTGGTTTTTTTTTTGCTCACTGAAGCATGTGTACACTAAGGTCAACACACAGGTCAGCCAGTCTTGGCTGCATCTGAGGGAGTTGTGATGTGAAGTGTGGAGCTGTGTTCTAATGCTCCGGGTGATGACTGCAGAATCACTATTTTTAGTTGCCTTCTTCTTGCCCCCGCTGTAGCCGTAGCATGTGCGTTTTTCATGCATACGTGTGATTGCTGACTGTTTTTTTTCCTGCTTCCCTGTTTCATTATTATGCAATGCGGTATGTGACCTTGAAGGAGTGTGTACCACAGGCACAGGGAGAGCGCTGAGTAAATATGTGACCACTACAACCTCCGTGTCATCCTTGACTGCGCAATGAGCCACTTCACCACTTCACCACTCACAGGGCATCTCCTTGGAGGACGTTGTTTAGACTTTGGCCCGTTTCTCTTCCATGTAAACCTAGAACTAACCCTTTGCCGTCGATTTCCTCCGTTCATATGATTAATTCCTACTGACAAAGACGTTTACAACACGTTTTCTGCAGTGTAACAAAGATCCAGTGGCTGCACTCGGAGAGGAAAACAGTCTGGCCAACAGGCCACCTTAACCCAGTGCCTATTTCTCAGGATGACATTAATATAATAGTGCCGGTGCCCAAAACAACTTTGCATTGATTCACATAACCTTTTAAGCCGATCGATCGCTGCACACTAACTCAGAACGCTTTGGCATGGACATTTTTTATCAGGCATGGATTAGTTGCAGTGTTGCATGTTTAATATTGTAGCGTTCTCTCCGCCTGTGCCCCTGTTTTTCAGCGATATTTTCTTAAAACATGCACATACATGTAACGACTGGGGAGTCATCCGTTTGATTGATTGTTTCATCCCACGTCATCCTCCATTTTTTTTCCTGGTGTGCATTTTTTTAAATGTCACAGTAGGTTGAGTTACTCATAGATAGAAATACTGTTCTCATGAATCCTGTTTAACGAGCGCTCGTCCTCCTCGCCACACTGGCTGCTGTTTGATGCTTCGTGACTGGTCCTATTTTTCTGAGCGTATAATCACTTAAAAATAACATGTTCTGTCATTTTCCAGCTCCTGTTTTTTATCCCTGTTTCTGGTACTTGAGTAAGGGAGCAGTGAGCAGCATAGTCCTCCGTTTCTCACGCTTTTCAATCCATCCCTAAACTATTGGTTCCAAACCGTTGTTGGCTTGTGACCCCCAGAAATTTCTGGTAACCCCAGATTTTTTTTCTATATCTTTATCTCACTCTTGTTGTTTAATTATGATTATACTTTCTGTTTTTACTAGACATATTAGGTCCGCAACCCCAAGGTTGAAATACACTGCCCTAAGAAATCGGTATCTTTTGCACATCACAGATGTTCAGTATAGCCTCACTCACACACGTGCTGTGACCACACAGTCTCTGACTACAGGGCCCTGAATGTCTGAAAATGGTGGCAGGCTAGCTATTGATTTTGTCATGTTTTGTTGTCAGCTGTAATTCCAACATGACATGACATTCTGTGAGGTCAGCCGCAGCCCTCCTCCTCAGCTGGGCAGCGTCTTCCACTGCTTTATCGTGTTAGTGTCACAGATGGAGCTGGAGCCAGTCCTAGTGACGTAAGACTAAAAGGTGCTGGGGACACAGTGGACATGTCTCCACGTCGGTCACATGGTCACATACACTGGGACCTGAGCGTTTGTGTTGCAGATCTGACCAAAACTAAAAGTAAAAAATAAAGATAAATAATTCAATAATTCATAGTTAACGCAGCCAGTTGAACAGAAAGTGAGCAGAGCTTTTACACCAACAGTGTAAGAATCACATAAAACTGAGTAGCTCCAAATACCGTACACGTTACAATACACTAATAACACAATTATGGTTAACTGAGTCTCAACAAAACTCCTCAGCTAGCCCCTGAGACGTTAGCGTCTCTCAGCGCTAAGGCTAAATCTTACAGTTTCACTACTGTCTTCATCCCAGACGTTAAAATAAACTGCTGACACTGTCGCAATGCTTTAATAATCTACCCATGAGGGCAACCGCACAATGAACTGCAGCAGGAAAACCCATAACACGGGCTGACTTGTTGTAATGAAAATCCGGTATGGAGTTTGGGGTCGCTGACTCGGCACGTTTCTAAGTACAAGTTTGAATGAAGTAATGCTAATAAACAATATTTTAAAATGTTCTAGAAATGCTTTAAAGACCTCTGTGACGAAGATCGCAACCTTTTAAGTTTTTTTTTGTGGGGTGGGGGGGTAACTTTCGGTGCCTCAAGAGTTCAGGACCCAGCTCGGAGCAGCAGGGGGAGGTATTGAATCTCCTCCAGTAAAAACAAATACCGCCCTTGTCTGAGAGTGACCAGTGCTCACTCCCTCACTTTCAAGGCGGCTCTTGTTACTGTGGCCCCTGACAGGAGCAGACAGGTTGTGTCTGAGAGAAATACCTTCCCACTGATGACATCATCATGGTGCGGGAGTCCAGAGACCCACAGAGGGCCAGCCGTGAATGGCTCCGCTACAAAAAATGAAAAGTCAATCAAAACACAGAGAGAGATCACAGGCGGTTCACGATGTTATCTGTGAGCACATTCTGTCTCCGTGGTGCAGATGCTTTGGCTTCATCTCAGGCCGATCCTCCGACCTGATTAGGGTTGTTATGTGTCCGTGAAATCAAAAGTTTCACTTTTAGCTTGTTAGTATTCGAGAAGCACGGCAGCGTGACCTTAATTCCATGGAGTGTCACGCTCAGATTGTACACTCCTCCATTCACACTGAGATGAAGAAATTGTGTGATCTGCCAAGGCAGTCTATGAGATGAGTCTATTGTGTGAGTTGAAATTACCCCCCCCCCCCTCACCCCACCCTCACCCCCTCCCTCTGCGACAGTACCCGGCGCTCCCAGAGAGGGTGGTCTCCCCCGGGCACTGGCGACGACATTAAGGGGATTTGTCTGTGAAAACTCGACTCTATTACCAGGGATAATTCTCCAGTAGACAAGCAGAGAGATCTGAGAGGGGAGCGTGTCACTCACAAGTTGTAATCACGTGAATCACAATTATCTGAAATGGTCTCATCTTTTCATAGGGGAGAGAGAGACGAGAGTGAGAGAGAGTGAGAGAGAGGGAGAGAGAGAGAGAGCGTGTTCTTGTTCTAATCTCCACAGTGTTCACTGTGAATGGAAAAGAAGGAGGAAAATGAGGGAGAAAAACAAACATTTAAACCAAAGAAAACATGCTTGTTACCACAGAGGACAGCTCCACCTGCTGGCTGTGTCTGGGTACTGGTGTGGGGCAGGAGGGGGTCGGGGTGGAACTCACTGGCCGGGGACACCGTCAGAGTCAAACAGACCTTTTACAGAATACAGACTTCATTTAGAATTCAAATATACAAGGAAATATTTGGGAGGAAAAACTGATCTGACGTGTTGGAAACGTCTGGTGGGAGTTAAAGCACTTCCTTTTCCATTAAAGGCTCTTCTGGATCACAGCCTTATCTTCAGTTTATGCCATAGATTCTGGGATGTGGGTTTCATTTACATCAGGCCGGTTATTAGATTCTGAGGAGATCGGGTTTTTTTTTTTCGTCTAATTTTTTAGGACATTTTTCTTTCTCAGGGTTTTCTTAAAAATATCGTTTGTTTTCATTCCACAGCCTCAAAGTCTATTCTTGTACTCCCACCGGTGACTGTCCTTTTTTAATGTAAGCCCTCGCTGGTGTTTTGGCAGTTATTTTAGATGAGTGGTTCCTAAAATGGGGGGCAGGACCCCCCGGGGGGCACAGTGGTATTGCAGCAGGGCAAAGTGGGGGCAGTACAGTGCACAAAATTGCACTCATTTGTAATTTTATGTTGTTCATTGAGAACAGCAGTTTTATAAGAATTGTATTTTTAAGTCCAGGTCAGTATAACTGTAAGAGAGTGGGTGTTTTTTGATTTTTTTTTTTTGCTTAAATCTTATTTTTTCCTCTGAAACTTTTATTTTGTATTTCATGAATCTCTCTGAACTTCCTGGTGAATCTTCTTCTCTTTGTACGTTTTTCCTCCTGATGTTTGAGAATAAACAGTTATTTGTCCAAGGTGCTAACAATGCTAACTGTGATTTTTACTTGATTCTCCCACTGGTGAACACAGGGCTCTGAACTCAGTTCTTATATATTCAGTCTATATATTATAGCAGTTCTTTGTTAACTCATGATATTGTTCTGTGCGATTTAATCTTAACGCTCCATCAGCTTCGATCAAAGTCGTCTGCAGTGAGTGAATCAGTAACCTGAGAATTTTGTTTTTGGCTTGATATAAAACAAATGTTTGCAGTAATCCCAGAAAAGGGAATTCTTAAAATATTCCATCTTCAGTGATGTGTGAATAACAGCACAGAGAGAGAAAAAAACAACTCAAGAAGAAAAATAAAAAATCCAGTGACGCTCATGTTCAGTCCATCTTTCCTGGACAAACAGGTCGAAAACATGTTGCTGTTTCCATGTTGCCGCCGCTCTGACGCACGTATCAGCGTTTCAGCAGCCAGGACACCGAGAGTGGACTCTGCACCTTGGTGATCAGCCAGCTGTGAAGTCCCCATCATCACCACCAACCGCCGCCCACGTACCACCACCCATGTTGCCACATACACCGCTGACCGTACACAAACACAGCAGTGACTCATGGGTGTGTTTGAGGAACCACCCGTGTCCCTCTGCCCGCAGGATCACTGCGTCACTATCTATACGGCCTGACCTTACACTCACCCCCCG